CCCCCCCCCCACCTGTGCCCAGCCCTCCAGCATAGCCATGGAGACCCACCTCCATTGCTGGGCCCACTGCTGTACCTTGATGGCCTCGGCCGCAGACAGCCGCTCCTGAGGGCTGCTCCTGGCCATTTCCAAGAGGAGGGCCTTAAGCCTGCGCGGCAGGGCCAGCTTGTGGTCACGGGGCACGCTGAACTTGGCTGCAGTCCACAGGATGGCGGCCACGCAGTACACCGAGGCCTAGGTGAGAGAGAGGTGGGCACCGAGGGCCCAACCTGCCCAGATGCGCCGCTCTGCCCTGGTGTGTCAGGGGCAGAGGGGTGCACAAGGGCACAGCCCCATCTGACACCTGGAGACCACCACAGTGGCGTGTGCATGCTTAGCCAGGACCCTGGTGAGCAGTCATGGGACTATCAGCCCCGGCCTGAATTACAGTTTAGTCACCTGGCTGCGTGGGGCAGTGTCAGTAAGCACAGATTCAAACACAAAGCACACAGTGTCTGTAGCTGTTGCCCGGTCAATAGAACAAAACTTTTTGGGAAAAGCAGACCAGGATCCAAGAGCCCTGGGGGTGTGGTGAGCGATGTTAGGCTACTCACCACAGGGTCAGTGGTTTGAACCCCCAGCTGCTCCACTGGAGAGAGATGAGGCTGTCAGCTCCCTTAATGACTTACAGTCTCAGAAACCCATGGGGGCCATTCAACACTGTCCTGTAGGGTCTGCTATGAGCGGGAATTGAATCGAGGGCCATGAGTTGCATTGATGATCCAACAGCTATGATCTTAGACCATTGCTCAGAATGAGTGAATTCTGACTTTTTAAAAAAAACAATGATTATTTGTATATTTAAAAACTTCCCCCTCTTCCATCCCTGCTCAGCATCAGGTTGAGTTTCTTTTGGTGTGAAAGGCTTGGATTATTATTCTGCCATGGGCTGTGGTCTCGCTTCTCTCCCTGAGAAAGAGAAACTCACCATGCATGTGGGAGCACAGCTACTTGTCTCCGGGGCTTGGGGTAAGAGGCTTAGTAGCGATCAAGGAGGGTTTCCTAGGGAAATTGGCTCTGTGGGGTGTCGGCGCACTGTGCACGTTGTACACAGTGGACTGGGCCTCCTGGGTGCCAGTTACAATGTCACGCGTGCACGTGTGTCCAGAGAGCTGGTTGTTGAGCGCCCCAGCACACCACTGGTTCGTAGGCATCCCAGCCAGGGGGTAGACATGTTGGATGGAGGGTAAAGTAGGCTGTGAACAGACTAGCCCCTCATTTTGAGAGGCCTTGCCACGTGTGGTGTGAGGATACGGCAAAGGGATGGTTGACTGAGGTCCTGGCTGTGCTTTGCATGTCCCTTGCCGCAGATCCTGGCCCATAGTTTGTTTTTCGGTGTCTTTGCATTGGTATCGGGGGAAACCGAGCTCTGTAAAAATGGCTTGGGAGGTTTACCTACTCCTTTTTGCAATTACAGTAGTAAACACCTTCCCCCGCAACACTCCACACACCTAGTTTTTGCATTGACAATGTAGTCTGGTGAGGCAGGAATGACCCTGGCTGTGACAGTCAGGAGTGGTCAGTCTGACTGCATTGTGATGCCCAGTAGCTTGGCAGTTAGGTAATGGTGTAGGCATTGTGTATTGATCATAAAGTGGCAATCATTTTATCATCTGATGTCACCCTCCAATTTGGCATATGTTCTGTGTGCACTTGAAACATATGCTGTGTTCTTGTTGAGGGGAGTGTTTGTAAAATGTACAAGTACCCTATTGGTTGATGGAGTCCAGGTGTCTTCTGTTCTCATTGTGTTTCTGCTTGGTTAGCAGTTGTTAAAAGTAGGGCCTTGAGGCTCCAATTGTAATCATGGATTTGTTTGTTTCCTCCTTCCACTTCTGCCCTTAAGGCTTGACCTATCCGGCACCTCTGTGTCTGGCCTCATGAACCGGGCAGCTTCCTGGGGAATCTGCTTTCTCTAACATTGATAGTCCCTCTGCTTTCTTTTGATTAATGCTGCATATGTCTGCAGCCTTGAGGTTTTAACCTGCTTATATTGCTATATTTAAAATGAGTGCTATATATATATTGGGGTCATGTTTTAAATCTGCCCTGCCATTCTGTCTTGTAACTGGTGGATTTTGATCATTTACATTTAATGTGATCACTAACTTAGCCTGACATTCTGTTGCTGTTTTCTGCTTGTACCTGTCTCCTTTTCCTCAATTTCAGGGCGGGATTACTTGGGCAGTTGTTAGAATTCTGTTTTTATATATGTTTTGTGAGTGTTCTTTGTATGGCCCTTTTTCAGCGGCTGCTCGGGAATTGCCGCTAGCCGTGCTCTTGAGGCCCCTCTGTCGTGACCCGTGTGCTTCATCTGAGAGTCGTGACCGGTG